CTGCTTGACCTCAGCTCCAAACTGGGACCTCACCTCCAASTGGGACTTGATCTCYAGGMTGGACCTTTCCCCAGYTGCTGCTTGACCTCAGCTCCAACTGGGACCTGACCTCCAGGCTAGACCTTTCCTCACCTCCTGCTTGGACCTCACCTTCAAAATGAACATAATTTTCAGCTGGGACCTCAGCTCCAAGTGGGACCTCACCTCACCTCCAGGATGGACCTTCCCTCAACTCCAGCTGGGACCTCAGCTCCAAACTGGGATCTCATGTTCAGCCTGGACCTCACCTCCAGCCTTGACCTCACCTCACCTCACCTCCAGGATGGACCTTTCCCCACCTCACCTGCCTGGCCCTCTCCTCCAGCCCAAATCTGACCTCCAAGAGGAGCCTGGCCTCCAGGCTGGACCTCAGCTCCAGGCTGGGCCTTTCCTACAGCCCAGCCCAAATCTGACCTCCAAGATGATCCTCACCTCCAGCCTGGAACTCACCTCCAAACTGGGATCTCACCTCCAAACCGGACCCCACCTCCAAAGTGGGATCTCACCTCCAAACTGGGACCTCACCTCCAAACTGGGACCTCACCTTCAGCCTGGAACTCATCTCATCTCCAGGATAGACCTTTCCCCACCTCACCTGCCTGGACCTCTCCTCCAGCCCAAATCTGACCTCCAAGATGATCCTCACCTCCAGCCTGGAACTCACCTCCAAACTGTACCTCACCCTGTCCTCCAGGATGGACCTTCCCTCACCTCCTGCTTCGACCTCACCTCCAAATGGGACCTCACCTCCAACCTGGGTCTCACCTCACCTCCAACCTCAACACCACCTCCAAGCTGGACTTCGCTCCAAACTGGGCTCCACTTCCGGCCAGAACAACGTATCACCTCCAACCTTGACTTTCCCTAAGCTCCAACCCAAATCTCATCTCCCGCCAGGACCTCACCTCCAATCCAGACCTCATCTCCAGCCAGGACTTTGTCTCCAACCCAAATCTCACCTCTAGCCCAGACCACACCTCCAGCCAGAATCTCACCTCCTGCCAGGACCTTGTCTCTAACCCAAATCTCATCTCCAGCTAGGATTTCACCTCAACCCAGACCTCATCTCCAACCAGGACTTCATCTCCAACCCAAATCTCATCTCCAACCAGGACCTCACTTCCATCCAGGACCTCACCTCCCGACAGGATCTCACTTCCAGTCAAGACCTCATCTCCAACCCATATCTTATCCCCATCCTGGACCTCATTCCTGCCAGGACCTCGTCTCCAGCCAGGACCTCACCTCCAACCCAGATCTCATCTCCAACCAGGACTTTGTCTCCAACCCAAATCTCATCTCTAGCCCAGATCTCACCTCCAACCCAAATCTCATCTCCAGCCAGGACCTCACCTCCTGCTAGGACCTCACCTCCAACCCAAATTTCATCTCCAGCCAGGACCTCACTTCTGACCCAGACTTCATCTCCAACCAGGACTTCATCTCCAACCCAAATCTCACCTCTAACCCAGACCTCATCTCGAACTCAAATCTCATCTCCAGCCAGGACCTCATCTCCAACCAGGAGTTCATCTCCAACCCAAAATTCATCTCTAGCCCAGACCTCCCCTCCAGCCAGGATCTCATCTCCAGCCAGGACCTCACTTCCAGTCAACACCACACCTCCAGCCAGGATCTCACTCCTGCCAGGACCTTGTCTACAACCCAAATCTCACCTCCAGCCAAGATCTCACTTCCAGCCAGGATTTCACCTCAACCCAGACCTCATCTCCAACCAGGACTTCGTCTCCAACCCAAATCTCATCTCCTGCCAGGACCTCGTCTCCAACACAAATCTCATCTCCAGCCAGGATTTCACCTCCAACCCAAATCTCATCTGCAACCCAAATCTCATCTGCAACCCAAATCTCATCTCCAACCCAAATCTCATCTCCAACCCAAATCTCATCTCCAGCCCAAATCTCATCTCCAGCCCAAATCTCATCTCCAGTCAGGACCTCATCTCCAACCAAATCTCATCTCCAACCCAAATCTCATTTCCAGCCAGGACCTTGTCTCCAGCTGGTTGTCAGACCAGGGGATCCAGAGGATCCAGAGGATCCAACCCCAAGTTCTGCAGGACTGGGATGTGCTGCCCACAAAATACTGGCCCAGAATCTGCGGGATTTCCCAGTTCCACTTCTGGATGGGGCCAAAGGGTCAAGTTTGACCTTTAGGAATATTTTCCCAAAACCAAAGAAATTCTGGAATTGCAGCCTGGTTCGTCCTGGTCGGAAATAACCCCCGGAATTCTGCACGCTGCAGAGAGAGCCGGAACAAGCAGGGGAGAATGAGGGAGAATGGGAAAATAACAGATCCGAGGGAGTGGAATCCAATCAGGATAAAATCCGGGAACTATTTAAACCTGGGACTAAATCAAAGCTCGGGCCTCTGGGAGCTGGGATTATCCCCAGGATGCTCCATGGCCGTGCAGTTTTCCCATGGATCGGAGGAGAAAAGGGGAGGATGTCTTTAATGTCTAAATGTCTTTAATCCCAACAGGAATTAGCCAGGGGATGTTTGAGATTTTTTCCTTTGCAGCAGTTTTCCAACTCATTTGTTTAACAAGGAAATGTTGGAATCACGGCTCAGGCTCTGGAATTCCGCTCCCAAATTGCTCTTGGCCACGGAGATTCCTCCGAGGTGGAATATCCAGCAGYCAGAGCCCTCCAGGAGACAAAGCTCCTCCAATTTTAACTTTTTTATTGCATTCCTTCTTTTCCACGAAATTCCTAAAAATGGAGAGAAAAAAATCGCTCC